TTTCGTAATTTTTAAAAATTTGAGCTTTAAACATTAATAACAATTATAGTGTGTCTACATATTATTAATTTAAGTACTAAATGTATAACTCAAAGAGTAATTTTTAAGAGACGTTATATGATATGTTTAAGTTTTGTTATAGTAAAAATAAATGCTTTTATATATCATTTAATTTTTTACAATAAAATATTATTACAATGATAAACTATTCCTGTTCCCTCAAAGTTTCTGTTTTTCTTACAAGTTATGTTTTATGATCGGTAATTAAATACTTCTATTAGTCTGGAAAATACAGAGTAAATATACATCGTGTACTAAGTTGAATAAGCAAAAATGAAGAGAGCTAGGTCTTCCTAAATATTTTATTAGCTCCTCTATCCAAAAAAAACTTGTTAAAAATGTCAGATCCCTGAAATTTTAATGGATTGCTGGCTGATTCTAAGTATTTATATTAAATTATTAAAATATAAGTTACGTTTTAAAAAAATGATGATATTACGCAGAAAGAAGTATATTGGAAAAACTTATAGATCTTAAAACTTTAGAAGATAACATTTATTAATTTTTTAAGTATTCAAGTGTACTAATGAGCAGGTATTTTACGAGTTTGGTATAATATAATATATTATATTATGTATTATATCGGTTGAACACTCAAATGATTACTTTAAAATGTTTGTTTTTAAAATCTCAAAATAATTTTTTTAAATATTTGATAGAAATTATTGAAAATCTTAAATGTACTGTACTTACTCCTATTTTAACTTATTAATCAAAATCGATTTAAAATTTTTTATTGATGCTAATCATTAATCAATAATATAATGAATATTAAATATGAACAAAATATATCAGCTACCTATATTTTTTTATAATTTTGTAAAGCTTAGGTGAATTCTTAAGTTATTTCGCAGATTAGAATAGTCTTCATAGTAGCTAAAGTGAGAATTAGCTTCATCTAACCAGTTACGCAATTTTAATTTATGGTACTGATTTGCTTATAATTTTTATTCCCTGTATAAAATGTATCAAGTATAAAAATTTTAGATTCCAAGCAGAACATTAAATGTACTATTGATTTTACAATGATGTGCGTTTTTTGTATCTGTACACGATTAGTAGTTAATAAAATACTTAAATTTTCACTTTAAAAGTGGTTTTGGATGAAAAATTGGATCTAATTTGTATTTTATAGAAAAAACTGAGTATTCTTTTTTATAGTTTAGAAAAACAAATAAAAAATTAAGGGAAACGGGAATTTTTATGCAAATCCAATATTGTTATTAAATATTTGTTTTATAATCATGGTTACCAAAGTGTAGAAAGTTTTTTCTCAAAATCGTTTTTCGTCGTTTACAATTGATTATTATTGAATACAAATTTAACAAAATGCATTAAAGCGATTTACTCAGCGAGTTCTACTCGACACCTAATGTATAGCTGGTATCCACTTGCTTACCTTTTTATTTTAAAATTTTCATATAGATTAAAATTTAAGACATTTATTTTATTAAATATAATATTTAGTATCAAAAAAGATTACAAAAACCTGGTAATGTGAAGTTGTATTGACGTATTGTGATTTATGACTTTTTGTAGAAAGTAAAATTATGTCGGTATAATTATGGTAAATTCTTCATTACATCACTGCTAGTTACAATAAACATTCGTAATTGAATAACTTGTATACATTTATTTTTGAATTATAAATATCTTACACAAATATTATTTATTCGTTTCAGGTCTCTTGCTGTTGGTACAAAGACTGGATATCGTTTATATTCATTGTCTTCCGTTGATAATTTAGACCAAATATATGAAAATGGTAAAGCCAATTAAATTTTATGAAAATTATGATCTGTGTAATAATTATATTTAAATTTGTGACAGAATCTGAAGACATCTGTATTGTGGAGAGGCTATTCAGCAGTAGCTTGGTTGCAGTGGTCAGCTTGTCGTCGCCACGTAAGTTAAGAGTGTGCCATTTTAAAAAAGGAAATGAAATATGTAACTACAGCTACTCAAACACTATTCTAGGCGTGAAACTTAACAGGGCCGTAAGTACAATGTACAGCGTATTATTGCAGCGGAACTTTTAATGGCATTAAATCTTATTTATTTTTTATTTTTGGCAGAGATTAGTCGTATGCTTAGAAGAATCTTTGTATATACACAATATACATGACATGAAGGTCTTGCACACAATCAGAGACACTCCACCAAACCCAGCGGGACTTTGTTGTTTATCAACAAACAGTGATTTATGCTATTTGGCATATCCTGGTTCAAGTACGACTGGTGAAGTGCAAATTTTTGATGCCATCAATTTGGTAATCATCTTTAATAAGTTCATTGCTCATTGACTTTTTGAGTTGAAATTAATGCCGTATTATATTTTAGCAATCTGTGTCAATGATCTCAGCTCATGAAAGTCCTTTGGCGGCAATGGCCATTAGTCATCAAGGCAATAGAATAGCAACTGCCAGTGAACGAGGTACAGTTATTAGAGTGTTCAACATTTCTGATGGTGCCAAACTATACGAGTTCCGACGTGGTGTTAAACGCTGTGTCAGTATTTGTAGCTTGGCGTTTAGTATTGATGGCTTGTACTTGTGCTCATCGAGTAATACTGAAACAGTGCACGTGTTCAAATTGGATGACACTAGAGAAATGTAATTAACTGTTAAAAAAATATATATTTATTGGATAATAATAAAATTGTTATATTTTGTATAGTCCACAAATGCCCGACGAACAACAAAGCTGGATGTCATTTTTGTCAAAAGCCGTTACTGCATCAGCTAATTATTTACCCACTCAAGTTACAGATGTGTTCAACCAGGGAAGAGCAGTCGCTTCCATTCATCTACCGTTTCAAGGACTAAAAAACATTTGTACTATAGTGATGTAAGCAATTGATTTACTAAAAACAAATAATTTTGAAATTACTTTGATTTATTACTTTTAGGGTTGACAAAGTTTTAAGGTTACTGGTTGCTTCATCCCATGGATACTTATATGTTTATAATTTGGACATGGAAGAGGGTGGTGAATGTACTCTCTGGCGTACTCATAGGTTTGTCAAATGCTTTGTGTTTGTATAATTGTTTAATTATTAAATTTATACATATTAAATTGTATTAGACTGGATGGCCAACTAGATGTAGTGGACAGCCCTAAACCAATCAAATTGAAGGAGGCAAATACAACCAAGTTAGATAAAAATACGAAAACAGATTCCTCAATTAATAAAAATTTAGGTTTGTAAAATTGAACTCTTTAATTTTAATTCTTTCATCATTTAAAACTATTAGTTTAATGTTTGATCATCATTACTCACATCAGTTATCATAATATCTAACTAACTAACTAAAATTAATTGAAAGGAATTTGAGGAATAGTGAAGCTTTTAAAATAATTATGTCACATTGTCCTTTAGCTGCTTTTATTTTGGTAAAATTTCAAAATATTATTTAATATCCATTGAGACTTTTTGAATTAGAATATTCTATTAAATAATGTTTTAATGATCAACTTATTCCATTTATAACAAGTATTTAACATTTGTTATGAGTCGTTGACTGGTAGTTTCTAAAATTGTTTATAACAGATACTGGGCCTGCAGTAGTGTTAGACACTAATCACATGACTGAGGACTGCTCGGATTGCACACTATCGGTAGCGAGTGAGTATGCAGCTTTAGCCCTTAATCTTAATATGGTTTGACTGACACCGTTGTTGGTTTTGTTTTCTGCTGCTCAATTCCTTCTCTCCAAATTGCTGTCCTCCAAATGAACCTGCTGTTTCTGTGTGTGTGTATTTGTATATACAATAAAATCTAAAAGATCCAGTCGGAAGTTATGCTGGTGCCCTCAGGGGACATCCTTCATCCAGTCAGTCAGGTATTTGTCATAACAACTCATAACATTTGTGAATTTTTCATAAGATTACGAAATGAATGCATATATTGACAAAATATTACATTATATATTATATTAAAATGTTGAATAATTCATTGGCATATTATATGATTGTTAGATAAACTAAATTTTTTTTTATTGCAGATGCAGAGAATCATGTTGATAGCTTGACTGATGTATCCGAAGATCGTTTTAACTTGAATGACGATTCAGAGTTTCCTCCAGTTATATGAAACTTGCATGCTTATCATTTGTACTGTTAAATTTTTGTTAAATTGTTTGTCTTCATATTATATATATTTTTTCTGATCTGCCTTTTCTTCAACAATTGTGACATATTTTATAAATACATTTAAACAATATATTTTTCAATGTTAAGTATTAAGACTCAATATATTATAATATGCTTAAAATGTTAACAAACTGTACAATATTATTTTCAATAATTATATATAAATGCAGTATGTAACTGTAGATTGATGTTTTATTTTTATTAAGTGAAAAAATTACTAGATTAAGTAGATAAATGATTTTCATATTCAAAAGTAAAAAGCATTTTTTATGAGAGTTTGTTGAAAAAATCTAAATACATTTTACAAGATTAGCTATATTTTATCCATATTGAGTTATGGTTTGTACAATAACCATTTCAAACAAACATTTTGAGTTTTATTCTGTTTCAATAATGGTGTCGGATAAAAAAAAAAAAAAAAAAAAAAAAATCAGGAAATCATAAAATAAAATATTCAATATTTTATGGCATACATCATGTGTTAAGTAATCAAGTCATTTTTTTTACTTTGGTATAAACTTTATTGTTTTCAATTTTTATACAAAGAAAAATCAATTAAAATAAAATACCAGTACAATAAAGTTAAAAATTACTATAAATTTCTATTGAAATTAAAAAACTTAATTAAAATTGGAAATTTTTTTTACTTTGGAGTAATCCACCTTTTTTTGTATTTTTATAACCTTAAATTTTAATGTTCTATACAACAAAACGAAAATTCATTATATAATATTACCTGTGTTATTAATTAGTTCTTTTTTCAATATAATAAACAATGCATAAAAAAATATGTATATATATAATTATATTTACTGTGAATGAGATACATGTTTTCTATACAACATTTAGTTGATATCCCTTGGCAATCTGCATATATCGCATGATTGCCGATCAGAATTATTCATAAAGGTGCAATGTATGCATGTCCACGATTCTGTCTGAACAGATGCAAAACCGTTTCCAACATGCCCCGATACAGCAGAATCAGAAGTATTGCTGATCAATTGCTCGAGTGTTGCCCATACGTCTGATCTAGACCATTCAACTACTGCCTGTTTATCATTAGATCGTATTGCTTCTAACAGTGGAGCCATTGAATCCTGAAAAATAAATTATTTAATTAAGCAGGTACAGGAAGAGTAAGAAATAGGTATTTAAAAAACAAATTACTTTCATGGGTAGCATATCCATTGTAGCAATATACAATAGAAAATGAAAATCGGAAATAGACTCGTAAAATTGTGACGGAGTGAATTGTCTTAGGTATTTGCACAATGAATCAAAGTCTTGAATATGTCCATCAATTAATCTGTTCTCAACAGGGAATTTTGTGATGTCTTTAATTGATGTGAACGTATTCAGTGGAATTAAGGGTGTTGAAGCTGGTACATCTAATAACAAATACTCCACAGGTAATGGACGGGCTAATTTTGACACCTCATTGCCATAACTGTCTTTCTCCTAAAAAAAGTACAAACAAAATTAAAGTGCTAATTGAAACATGATTCATGAACTCATATAAATAAAATTAATTATTATCGATATAAATTATAAATAGATAACATAATTAAGACATAAAAATAGATTTTTAAAACTGATTGTGATTATTAGGCTACATAATATTAACTTATATAAACGTGTATTTTATGGAATTTTAACAATTTTAAAACTTCTTGTTTTTAATTGTTGGTATTAAAAAAAAAAAGTTAGATAAGTAGGTACCGCTTTGCTATACTAATAGGTGTCAAATGGGTTACCAATCATTATATACCTACCAAAACAATTTTGAGCAGAGACGATCTATCAGTTTAGAATATTTTGTATTATAATAATATAAGTTATAACATAATATTGATAATTATGATACGATATCACATATTTTAGTTATCAATAATTTAACTTATAAGTCAATAAACAAAATAACGACGTAAATGAGTTTGTCATTTGAGGTAAAATAGTTTGAAATGAATCTAATTTTTAAATAATTATTCTAAAATCAATACATTCATCGCTCGGTTCGGAATCTAAAATGTATAGACAGTCCAATATTATCCGATTTTACAGATATTTAATAATTAAATATATGTTTTTACTTTATAATTACCTATATTGTATGTTTAGTTATTGGTAATAGACAAAATGTGATAATCAAAGAAATTTATAAAGAATTTTGAAAAAACACATTAGAAAATAGAATAGATGATGCAAAAGATGATTATGTCTTACATAAAATAATATATTAATATGTAAGTAAATAATTTAAAAAAATAAAAATAAATTACCTGTTGCCTATGATTAAAAATTAAGATTATAAAACATAATTATAGAAAAAAAAAATCTAAAAATAAAGACCTATTATTGAAAGTGTAGGAATAAGGAGTAAAGATTAAATTAAAAATAAGCATTTATTATTAATAAATATGAGGTAAACTGGTAAAGTATGCGCAAATACTAAAATATGCAATCAAATATGCGTTAATTCCATTTTATAGATTTATAAACGTCTCGTAAAGAAAAAAATTCCTTGAATTAAATTAACGATAGAATATAATTTTTTACATACTTATAAGTCATTATTAATCGTATAGAATTTAATAAATTACAAGAGTAACAGGGCACAAATTTAAAATAGTGTACTCTATATCAGAGTTTCTCAACCTTTTTACTATGGCGACCACCTTTCGAATTCGATTTTCTAGCGACCTCCTATGTATATATTTTTTTTATACTTATACTCGCATAGATTATACAATACAGTGTTTTATATTTATTGATTTTATATTTTTCATTACTTTATTTTATTATTTGAGCTTTTAAATTTTTGTGTTTTTGTTATTGAATTTTAAATCATAGGTTAGCGACCCTAATTATTAATAAGTTGGCGACCCCTAAGAGGGTCGCGACCCGCAGGTTGAGAAACACTGCTCTATATATCACAGTATAGAAAATAAAAATGTGAAATTTCAAAATCAATCTTTCAGAGTATTTGATAATAACAAATAATAATAAATTAAAATAATGAATTTTACATCCATAAAGATACAAAAGAATAAAAATAGTTAACTTATATAATAATGGGACTTAAATAATGGATGGTAATAAAAGATTTTAGGCTGTTTCGTCTCCAACCAAAAATTGAGTTTTTGGACGTTTCATCCTGGTTAATTATATAGATAGGACATTTTAGTCCCCAACAGAAATAAACCGTAAGACGTTTGGTCCCCAACGTTTTTTTAATTATAGCCAAGACGTTAGGGTTTAAGGTTTTTTTTATTATTGTTTTTATAATTTATTTTAGTTATATTTAAATAGGTAGAAATTAAAATAATATAAAGTTCAGAAATAAATTTAAGATTACTTTTCATAATTTCATTGACAATCAATTCATTTATTTTAAATAAAAAATTTAATGTTTAAATGACAATAAAATAAATACTTAGATAATAAAAAAGTTATAAATGATTTTTTTCTTTTTAGCTCAACTGACTTATGTTTATAAAATAATTTAAAATATTATTATCATTATTATTATATTTAAATTCTGTACAATACAATTTTATTTTATTATCTTTAAGACTTATTGTTTTCTGTTCATTATTAATTATTATTATTATTATTTTTGTATCAATGCAGTATTTGCAGACATATTACATATTTATAAAAATTCAATAAATATAAATATTAGGATAACATTCTATAAATAATATATATAAGCTAATTATCAAGACATTTATTTATTTTTTAATACTTTGTATTATTATCATTTAAACATTAAATTGTATATATATATATAACGTATTGTCAATATAAAAACGTCGTATAACCAAAATGCTGGAGACCGAACGTCCAAGGACTAATAACTCCCGGGGACAAAATTTTCTATCTAAATAACTAACAGAAACGTTTCGTCCATTAACTCAATTTTTGGTTAAGAATATAAAGGCCATTTGCAATTTGATGTAGTATTTGAAAGTATACTTTTTTTTGGAAAATTCAAAATACATATAAAAATTTTAAGATCTTTTACCCTTATAGTCGTCGCGATTTATTGTTGTTAATCTAACTATCAATTTTTCATTCTTCATAATTTATCAACTAATATTTTTAATTTTTAATCAAATATTGAATACTTTCTTATTCATGACAATGTTTGATTCATAATATTGTACAATTAATATCCAAATAAATAGAACACAAATAAACTATCAATTAATATTAAATTTACGAAATATGATAGACCTATAAATGTACTTAATTTCAAAATGAAGTAAATCCGAGGTACTATTAGACAATCATTTTTGCATCCTATAAAAAAATTTCGTTTACTGTACGTATACCTATTTCGTCATTATACCATCATTTAAATAAATATTTTATAAGTATTATTTGAAATATAAATTTAGATTTATCGAATCTATAACTACTCGAAACTCGAATGTTAAAATGTCAAGAAAAATATTAATACATATTTATGAATTATGGGTTTTGATAATAATTAATCAACTAAAACAGACTTGTTTTTTAATACAATTTGTTTGTTTTAAATATAAGTAAATTGTGATGAGATTATGCAATGATAGTGCACAGTGATAGAGACCTACTTTGTTATAGTTATTGGTTCTGAAATCTAATTTTTTTATACAGAAACATATTGGATTAATATTTTTTCTTTAGACCTATTAAACAACTGAAATGACGCTCCTGCATGATGCATATTCTGGAGCAATCGATGAGAATTCAATAGTGAAGACTGGGGGTAAAAACATATCGTTTTCCATCAATATTTAAATACGTTTTAAACAATTTAATTTCTTGTTGTACGATATATTACAAAACGTTAATATTTTTATTGAAAGCATTATGCTTAAATAATATTTTTCTGTGTGCGTTCGTGTTATTATCTAATATAAAAAAGGGTGAAGTAGATAACAGTTCTGTTCACAAAATGTGGAGTGTTTATCGTTATTGAGAAATCACTGTAATATTTGTGTTAAATTTGAGTTCATTACATACAAAAATGTATTCTAAGTAAAGATGACTAGACTAAGTATATTTTATGATAAATGTAAATTGCTGTTTAAGTAATTTATATTACTATTAGTAAATAGCAATACGTTAAATTTAATTAATTTTTGGGGAAGACATTGCAGTTGAAAATGTTATTAAGTGTACAAAATTTATTAAAATATGTTAAAAGTTTAAAATACTTACGAATCATACTTTTAAATTAAAATAAAATAATTAAAATCGTTATATCTACCTTCTTTAAATATTTAGTTGTAAAATCAAAATATTCATGAAAAATATTATAGTTAGTTATTAAAATATTTATATGGTGTACGTATAAACTTAATGTTATAGTGTTAAATAAATTAGGTAATATGATAGGTAAAATTGATATTATTTTATTAATTTTATAATTCTGAAAAATTTAAAAGACAGACAGTGTCTACTTGAATACATTTATTATTTGAGGGTTAGAAGAGCTTCTTTTCGCCTCCAATAATTACGTATTTGGACACAATCAAAGAAAAGTATTTATATTTTTATTTCCACAAAAAAATGTACTTCAAGTTACTCTTCTACTGCGTATAAACATTATACAAGATTATAGTCATACACTCATAACGACAATAATTCGGTAATCAACAACAGGAGGAAGGTATATTTTAAAAGTTATTACCAGTTATTTAGGAAACTAATAAATAATAATATTAAATGTTATTGGAATTAATAACTCTGTGTGATTTTTTAACGTTCACTCTAGATTTTAGAAATTAAAGATTTTATTATTTTATTATTTATTATTATCCTATTGCTGTGTATATAATTATCACTATTTGAATGTTTTTATATGATAGAAATGTATTTTAAAAACCAAATAACTAAGGAAACTATGATGGCAATGAGTTTTTCCTATAAAAAATTAGGGATGATATTAAATGTGAGATGTACGAGTCTTTTACAATACTGAGAATTCAGGCGATTGAATATTATACCAGTTTTGTAATATGAACGTGTAAACAAAATTTATAGTACCTATGGAATACGTAACACAAATGTTAATAAAGGTATAACTTGGAGTTCTAAAATATGTGTTCAAATTGGGTTCCCAATACAAATAGATGGATACGAAAAAAAAAAGGTAATCGATAAATACAGGTTTACGTTTCTCAAAGAATACAATTTTTTGACAAAGGACGTTATATATTTTTTTTGTAACAATTTATCATAATATAATGGAACACTAATAACAACATGTGCGTATTGTATAAAAACGACCAAAGGGTCGAATACTCGAATATCAAGTACATATAAGAATAATAAAAAACGTAAATTTGTAACACTCTCGTTTCTAATAATGTATCTTGCCGGTGAAATAAAACGAATAAAAAATTACTTTTATATAATAATATATTGTATAAGTTAATATACGGCCAACCCTCAAGTGGATGTGGACATGTGGACGAAAAGTGTTAATTGAAACGAGATTTTTCAAATCAACGGAAACACACATTTCTGCAGTATAAGTAAAAAATTAAAAATGTTATTCTCTTGATGGTATAAAGACAACTAATCTTCGGTGATCGTCACGAGCGTACCTTGTGCAGGAAAAAAACACGGACGACCGACCGACCCAGCGGAAACCGCACTATTCCATGCAGGTTATTGCCTACGAAACAAAGGTAGGCTATGTGGCAATCGTGTGCGTTTTCGAATGGCGGTAAAACAATAATAATATTATCATTAAAAAATATAACATTTAGTGTTGCGATCCGAAACGCAAAAGAGGGTGAAACAAAAACACAACGCTCGGGTGACGTCAGTGGCCAAGGTCGGCGGTGGCTGGGGTGCTCAAACCCCCGGACGGTGAATAATAATAATAATAATAATAACAGAAACAAACGCTCTCACTGGACCAGCCCAAACTGAGGTAGGGTTGCGTCGCGTCGCTTCGTTCTAAAAGCGTGGGAGGGAGAATTTGCTGCGGCGAGAAATTGGAAAGTGAAGTACGACGACGACCGTGTGCGCGTGTGCTGCAATGCAACAAAGGTCAGGCGGCGGGTAGTCGAGGGTTTAGGGGTCGATCGGATTGAGAAAATGGCGGGGCGGCGGCGGTGTTAGCATAGATGAGCGGGACGGCATTTGTTGTGCCGGGTGGCGGTACATATTTGACCGTGAATTGCGGATGGCCGAGCAGATGCAGCCATATCAACGCGACACGAAATACCGTATACAGTTTGACGGCGTTTCGCTTTCGTAGTTTCGTCCGGAAACAACCATTGTCCCAATACTAATAACACTATACGTACATAATATAATTTTATTAGATGATAGTGTACTATTAAAATAGTAGTTAGTAATGTAATACGCAATTACCGCGTTTAAAACTGTAACAATATAATTTTATTACATTGCAATTATTGCATCATAAACGTGCACGTGCGCAGGATTTTTTCGAGGAGCGAGCAGAATAATTTTAGTAGGGACAGAACCCTTCCTCGATTATTTTTTAGCTTACAGTTTATACAAAAAATCCATTCTGCTGTATAGTAAGTATCGAATGTAAGTCATCATTGTATAGGTAACTGTTATGGATGTGTTAGATTTAATTTCAACGATTATAATACATGATTAAATCAATTTTTAGTGAAGACGCCGAGACAGTTTAATTTTTGGTAACCAAGGTTAAAAACAATTATTTCAATAACAATATTAAAACTTGAACAAATATTAGTATTTTATTTTAGTTTTTCCCAATTAAATTAAATAGCACTAAGACATTTTTGTTTTTAATTACAGCAACACTAACTACTAACTAGATTCAATTGTTAGCAGAAACCTCCCTCAGAATTGTTGATCGGATAATTTTTTCTATTAAAACAGTGTCTTTAGACAAAAAATAAAAAAAAAAAATTGTAAAATCAAGACATTCTCATTGGTTGATCTGTCCAGAATTTAAAATATAAGTATGTTTAATATTTATGATTGTGGAGTGGAGCAATCATACGCGTAGACATCGGGGGGATATGAAGGATAGATTCCCCCTAAAGCCTTAAAAAAGGATGTACCTATTTATTTTATATTTCCATATCATACAAGCAAAAAAAAAAAGGTTATTCAATATAATGTCCCGGTTTGATAATTTCAATATACAATGTTCAAAATCATAACTACGCCACTGGGAGTACTGAATTTATAACGCAGTTTTTGATAATATCTAGTTTGTACTTTGATGAATCAAAAATAGATATTTTTTAAAAACAATCGGAAAAAACAAAACTAAGAATAGATAATAATTGTATAATGGTTGTAGTTTTCACCAAAAATTTCACAAAAAAACTGTGGTTCTGTACAACTTCATGTCGTATACAGAGATATATAATAGTAATATCTCGTCCAAAATATCAGGTATACTAACCAGTAACCACAAACAGACAATAATACAAACCATCTTATTAAATGATTATAAGAATACGAAGTTAATGATTATTTTAATGTTAATGTGACTGGAATTTTTGTATGTGTTTACCATTTACTGGATCGTACTTTAACATTAAGATTTAAGAGGATGCCACAAAAGCATGACATGTGTTGTTTTCGTCTTACAAACGTGCAATATGATACATTTTCATTCAGTAGAACCAATTTCGTGGGTTAAGTATAAGTAACTAAGTGAAATGACCTATTGGCTATTATCAAACTTAAAGATAAGAAACAATTATCTGTGTTCTCTCTTCGGTTATTTACGGTATTCACAGTATTTTAATTTAATTTAATTCTTAAACTTATAGCTTTTTTATTTTCTAGAAGAATGTTGAATTAAAAACTACGTTTGTCGCTAAATAAATACAATTATATCTTTTTCTCAGACAATTTATAGAATTCTCACTAAGAACAATAATGTATATGGAGTACACTATCGTAGTGTCGCCATCTCTAACACTCGTTAATTAATGAATAATGATTATGTTAAAATATTACGTTATAGTCATATTATATACTCGTACGAAATAACACTTCAAATTTTACACGTCGATATCGTTACATCGCCTATCGCCGAATGGATCGCATTCGTTTTCGGCGGCTGGCAAGGCCGCCGGTGTCGGTTTGTAATTTTGAAAGCAGAGCAAACCATGTCGTCGTCGAATATTCATGTTATTATATTATTATACATCGCAACGCGACGAATCAAAAAAATAGAGACGAGAAGATGCGGAGACACGACATTTTTGTTTGACCCCTCCGCCCTGCCACCGATAATAATTACTCCATCACAGCCATCACCAACAACAACAACCGGTGGCCAGTCGGACTGCAATTTGATTGGGGGGGTCGTGGGGAACTGCGGCAGCGACGACGACGACGTGGGTATTAACGTAAATAATGTTACGGTAGACCGTGCGTACGTCATGCACTGTAGACATGACATTGCGGTGTGATGATAGGGCCGGTGGGGAGGGTTCGCCGGGGCGGATGGAAAACAACAACAACAAGACCGTGGCGTGGGAAGAAGGAAGAAGGGAAAGAAAAAAAAAATAGCGCCGAAACCCGGACCCGGGCCCCGCCAGCGAACCGCGTACTTCCGAAAAACCCGCGCGCGCGGGAGAGGGATCGACACAAACACCGGGCCCGACGCAGCCGCGACACCAGTCACCGTCAGTCGTACACACACCGTCCAAAGCGATCGCCATGCAACACGGCGGCCGCTGTCGTCGATACCGTCGTAGTAGTAGTTGTTGTTGTTGTTGTTGTGGTCGTCGTTATTGTTATTGTTGGTTATTACCGAACGGTACGGCCGCCGACAGTGTCGAGCTCGATTCGCGTGTTGTTGTGCACGGCAGAAAATCAACGATGACGGCACACCGACAACGACGCCGCCCCGGTCACGCTGCTGCTGCGATAACAACAACGGCACCGTCGTCGTCGCGCCAAATAATAATATAAAATATACGATTTATTAAACGGTTTCGCAACAAATCGTATAATTTATTATTATTATTATTATCGTAATTCGTAATAATACATTTTATCGTTCCGAACGTTGTCGCCGTCTGCCTTCAACGTCCCACCGTCGTCGCCTTCCCGTCGTTTGTCGTTCGTTTGATGCACAACGAAAAACGTTATTATTATTCGATAATCGAATAAATTTTTACTCTGTCGCACATTTCGCCGAGAGCAACCGTCGCGATATATTATTATTATTTTTTTTAATTATTATTATTTTTATTAATATTTTATACAGTGCGCCGTCGGTCGCGCCGCGTTTGTCCGTCGTCGCCATTGATAAGTGCGTAAGGCGTAACTCGTAATAATTAGTATTTTTACGCGCTCACTGTACACTGACCGTACTTATCAACGCTCACGCGTTGTTGTTTATTATTATTATTATTATTATTTTTTTTTTATACACCGTCGTCGTAATATATTTATCACAATATATAATAATATATTATACTACCTACATGTGTAACTCACGGCGCTAATCGTTCGGCCGCCCGTTATATATTGTTTACATTGCACCAAAGTGTAAGTTTATTTCGCGTCTGCGTACACCGTCATATACGTATTAACCAATATTTATGATGCGTATTATATTTTTACGTTATGTTGTGTTGATATCAATACAATAATATTGGGGTTTGCCGTAATCCCGGGGAACCGTGTTGGACCGCCTAAATTTCTTTTGAAAAAATAAAAATAAAACGCATTTAGAGAGACGCTGCCACAGTTGATTTGAATCCTGTTAAATGTTATTATTATCGACCACCCTTGACCTTCGTCATGCTCCCGAGTGAAAAACAATAATATATTATTGTACATACATAATGCATTGATATTATTATGTCGTAGGTACTTAATAAGAACTGATAAATGAGATGTATTATCTGGTCGAAAGCTTTAAAAAATCGTATTATTGTAATCTTAATCATGAATTTCAAGGTTAAAAATTCTCGTACGTAAAATATAGTGTTCATTTTAACGCTATTCAAATCTTTAATTATACTTGGCAAATAAATACAATTACTGATAATGAGTTTTAATGTGGGTATCTAATTATTTATATTATTAAATTTTTAACAAAAAATGTCAATAACTAATATTTTACATAATATTCAAATTATTTAATTATAAACATAAATATCTACGATTTAATTATCATAATAAATTAATAAATAAATATTAAATAATCATTAAAGAATAAGACATCAACAAATATTTAATTTTGAATTTGAGTTTAAGAAATTGATAAAAAAATCTTATCAAATTAATTAATCCACTCAATTATTTTGAATTTACTTCTAGGTATTTTACTATAGTATTTAAATACCTTTAAACATATGTATATCAAATTATGATAGAAAGCAAATGATTAATTTTTAGCCTTAGAATGATAATAAATACAGTAAAAGTATTTGATGTATGCATATTGTTGCACTTTTTTTTCCCTATTAATTATTTAAAAACAAATTATCCACATGGTACTGATAGTCTTATTCAATAAATACTCTTATTTTTTAAATTTATTATATTATATTAACTGAATACAAAAGTGCCTAATTAACAACTGTCAATTGTTTATAGATGATGGATACTAAAAAAGATTTTGAATTTGAAGAACTTATAATATGTGGCTGTTGCAAGCAGAAATTCAATGAAACAGAATTTGTGCCAAAAGAACTTAGTTGTAAACACTGTTTTTGTTTGCAATGTGTTAAGACTACTATGCTCAAAGGTTTAGAAGTGTACTGCATAAATTGCTGGAAACGTACTGAATTAGATGAGCAATCTCCAGAGACTCTACGAACACAAAAGTCAATTCTCAGTCTAATTAGACACCTGGCAAATGTTAAAGTCAATAAATCTGTTGATAAAGAACGAAAGGTTTGTCATTAATATTGATTTTAAAAAATGTTATTAGTTAAAATATTTTGATAATTATTTGTTTTTAGGGTGAAAATTGTCATACTCATGGAATGCCATTTTCATTTTGGTGTTACAATTGTCAACAGCTGTTATGTCGAGCGTGTGGAACTCAATCTGATCATATTGGGCATTCTATAAAATCTAATAATGATGCACGTGACCATCTAATCAGTGAAGTAAGTATTATTTCCTATTTAAATTTTAAACTTATTTATAACTTATTTTTATATTACAGGTTCAAGTTGAAACTATAGCTATTGCTAAATTGATGAGTGAAATACAAAATTTATTCGGACACAAACGCCAATTTCTCTTAAGGGTTTTAGACGCTTGTAACACACTAAAAACTCAAATTGAACTTGAACTAAATAGTGGTTGGACTCAAAATACAAATGATTTACTGCAGACCAATGAAGCTTTGAATAGTATTAAACCGTCAAATTTACGTACAGATGATTTATATGATTTACAATTATATTTAAATCGGTTAGAACAAGTGAAACAGAAAGTACAAAATAAATACTCTGAACAATTTGCACATGGCCAATTAGAAGATATTATATCTTCTACTAACTTATTAGATTTTAGTATGATCAAACAATCGTTGTCGTCATTACAGTCCATGGCTTTAGAATCATATAAATCTGCAGATTTGGCAAATCCAAATACTCATATTTTTTTCTTGGCTAACTATTGCACAGCACAATTGTTTACAAGATATGTATTACCTAAACATGTCACACAACTTGTAAATGGACCAGAATTTTCAAAAAATTCTCCTGGAAATTCATCTACTACTCAATACACAACATCTCTTTCTTCAATTTCATCAAATGAACCAGTACTAATAACTTCACAAAACAGTCCACCTCCAGCTATTTTGAATAGCGTACCTTCAATACGTAATGTTAATACTTTCCCCATGTTTTACTTTAATATTGAAGTAAACGGGACATCATTTGGTCGTTTAGTCATTGAAACTCGTCCAGATGTAGCGCCAAAAATGTCTAAAAATTTTGAAGTATTAACGGTGGGAGATACAAGTGGTTTTTCATATAAAGGCTGCTCAATATTTCAGTGTTGGGAAGGAGAATCTGTGATTACAGGTGATTTTGAATTAAACAATGGTCGTGGCGGTAAATCTATATATGATGAAAGTTACTTCATGCCTGATGATACTAAGTTTCCTGCAGTTCGAGGAGCTGTAGGAATGCGTCGCACTCAAAAACGTCATGACAATATGGGTATGGTTGGATCACAGTTTCGTATTATACTACAAGAGATGCGTGGGTTTACAGCAATTTTTGGACATGTGGTAGATGGCATTGATCTCGTTGAAAAAATGGCCTCGTTTGGAGATCAAACTGGCAAACCGTCCAAGACATTTGTCATATCTAGTTGTGGTAAAGTTTAACATAACCCCCTTTTTGATGTAAATTTAAACTAAATAATCGATCGAGTAGTTTATAGAAACAAGTGAACATTTATGTGTATTTTTGTAATCCATTATCGAAGGTTTTGATAAATTTATTTTAAAATCCAAACAGTATATTATCATATGTATTAATTTTAAACAATAACGATAATTATTCCCACATATATTAAAATGTATCAAATAATATAACAGTGTTTTAAAAATTTAAGTTATGCACAGTGAATTATTTATGTTATTATTTTTCAAAATGTGTACCATTATATCTTAATTATACTTTCTTACAAATATGCATAAGTTATATATTTAAAATCTGGAATAATATTAAATATTTTATAGTGTTTGAGGTTCACAAAAATTTATGTCAACATTTTACAACTTCAATTACATTGTTTTTACATTTAACTATGTATAGATCTATTAAAGTTGATTTAATTATTGTTAATTTGAAGTAAAAAAAAAAAAAGTATCAACATTTATATTTTGTAATTTAATGTATTCCCACAGTAAACAGTATTTTTTAAATTTTAATAGAAAATAGTTAAATTTAAATGTAAGTAAAAAAATGGTCTCATGAATATTTTTTAATGTTATCTCAATGTCCGCATTATTTTTTGATTTTACCCAGACATAACTTTGTTTTTGAAAACGTTTTATTCATCACAAGACAAGTTTGTTTATTTTATTTTACTAAATAATAGTAAAGCACAAATGAACCAAGTTACATAATATAAATGTACATATTAAATACTTATGTTGATGAATAAGATTAATATATTAATAATCAAATCGTAAATAAAGACATATTCATATACAAATTAATTGTAAATAATTTTGGAGTGTATCATGAAAAATAAATATATTTTCAATGGGATTTATTATTTTTATTTAATAAAAATATTCATGAATAGTAAATCCTTCATTTAAATTTTGAAAGTATAAAAATACAGTTCTAATTGTGAGCCACTATTTGTTTTTCAATATTTTTAGAGTATCTAAATTTAATAAATGTACGCATACTTTTAAACACAGACTCCCTAGTTTTCCAAAATAAGTACATTTTAATTAAATAATAATTATTATTAAAACATGTAAAAAATATTTTAAAATTTTTACATTTATTAGTAGAATTTATAATTGTGATTTTTAGAAAGTACTTATCGTACTACTATATTTTTAAAATTTAATAAAAAAAGATTTAAGCAACATGAATTGATTAGATAGGATGCCTTAGTATTAATAAAGACAAATCATTATATTTTAAAAAACTGAGAAAAAAACTACACAATTTTATAACATTGAGAGAAATCATATTTATTTATTTATTTATTATTATTATTATTATTTATTATATTATAATATATTATCTTTTATTGAGGTGTTTTTAAAAACTATCAAGAAATGTGTGTGAATTGCCCCATAATTAAAACCTAAAGGCAGATCCATCAGTTTGTTTAGAATTTAAAATATCCATTAAGTTAAACAGCTTAAAAACTTAAATACACTTATATACTTTATTGGTTTTGGGGAGATCTAACATGATAATACCATTGGATATAGTATAGCATATTTTTAATTGGAGTGAATCATAAATTACTATATATAAGCTTTAATATTAATCTCCATTAAGCAAATGTTACAGTTATTAATCATTACATAATTTTTTAAATGTTATGAATTGACTTGTTTAGATTACTTAAGATCATATTTAAAAAATAAATTTTCAATTTTAAATGATTTAAATTAAAAACAAAATATAGTACTTAAAATGAAGTTTTACTCGCATATATTGCTAAGTCATGCATATGCCTAGCATAAAAAAAACTACATACAAGATTCTTAAAACAGATTATTCATAGTCAATATTAGAATAAATTTACTTACTATCTAAATTGTAGAGGGGAATAAAAACTACAAAATAACAAACTGTTCAAGCAGTTCTTTTTTCATGTATTTTTTTTAAAAACCAGTATGCATTTGAAAAAAAAGATTGCAGTACTATCTAATTTAAAAATTAAAATACAAAAAAAACTGTTTGTGTACACTAAATATTGTCTTTTAAGAATTTGATAACATAAACATTTTATAACATTAATCATTAATAAAGTGTGGTAAAAATCCAATTTGTAAATTTGTTGTTATGTATCAGTATGAGATAGAATACGGGAGCAATATATTGTTAATATTATCATTTTATAAAGCACAAATTTACATTAATTTTTATTTAACCAATTATCTGTTAAAGAAGATATGTAACAGTTTTATTTTGTCTAAGATGCTTAATTTTGTTTACGAATAATTAAAATAATAGATGACTTATTTAATGCTTTACATCTTGTCAAGCCCGTGCAAAATTTTCAAATACAATGATTTTCATTTGGAATACTTAATTTAAATTTTACTGCATTATCTGAATCAGCTTTATTGGTTAAATTTATAACCATCCAAAAAAAAAAATTCCAGATCTATGACTGTAAGTGACTATTTCTTTTACATAATATTAATATTGTTATTAACTATAGAAGAAAGAGCTAAAAAAATGACTAATTCAATTACTATAAATATAAGGGAACAAGAATGAGCTTAAATTTACTATACATTAGATATTGTTTGTGAGACAATGAATCTACCAGAAACTAAATTATATATAATATTATTTTATTTAATGTATCGTCACTAAACAACCATAGAACTTAAAACATAACACCATTTAAAATAATTTTAAATACTCTGTATATCTATTTCCTAGTAGTTAATAAATATTTTGTGTAATGTAATATATAATATATAAATTAAATTTGTTACTAGATTATTTTCATGAAATTTAAACTTATCAATTAATTTATTTTTAATACTCTTCAAGATTTCAGTAATTAATATTATAAATTTTTCCATCTTTTTAAAAATAATATTTTTATGTATATTCTAATTAGTTAAAATATCTTTTAATTTTAATGATGCACCAATCTTTTGAATAGTAATCATTATAATTAATAAAAAAAATGTATAGAACTTTGTTATACATACCTTATAGTAGACGTCAGGCACATATTGTTTGTCCGAAGATTCTCGAACAAACCCCAATTCGGGTACATCCTTGGTTGGTACCAAACAATCATCTTTAACTAAAGCCATACACTGATTAGACACACTATAACCTTCCATGTGTACTTGACATTTTTCGTCTCCTGTAAAACCCATACAAATTAAGTAAAAGTAATAAATTAAAATTAAAATATAAATCAATTATTATTAATTAAAATTATCATAAATATGAACTGAGCCACTTGGCTAGATAAACAATTTATAAAACTTATAGATTAGACTGTTAGAAATTTTGATAAAATATTATAAAAACTATCAATTTTATTCCAAATCAGATAATAAGAATACTTAATGGAAATAAATAATGGAATTTTTTATTCATAATAAATTCTAAAAGATAATTGTGTATTTTCAGATTGTATGACAAACTTTAATAGCTATTATAGTATACTTAAGGACATAATAATTTTATTTTCATTTTCTCTATTTCTAATGCATAATATAAAAATTAAGCTTCAGAATAAAAATTTATAGCATTAATAAATTACATTAAAAAAATTTAATAATTGAATGATTTATAAGATATTATTACACTATTAATTTTATTTACATACCCGTAACACAGACAGTAACAAATTTTGAACCGAAATATCCATTAGATGCATAACGACAAGGATTTGGATGTAAATTTTGAAAGTATCCAGCCATTATACATTCTTGAGCAGATAGAAAATGACTTTTTATGTTTCTAACATATTTTACCTAAAAGTTATTTAAAAAATGTAAATATTAATAATCATAGTAATAAATAAATAATAAATACTCATACAGTTCCATTTTGCATGTCTTCAGTCAAAAGATCGGTAAAAATCCAACCAACACATGTAAGACCTAAGCATCTGGCCAATTCATTAACTATATCTTGTTTTTCATCAGGCAATAATTTAATATGATCTCTTGAACTTTCCTAAAACATAAGTACTTATAAATTAGTGCCATATTAATTGAACAGTAAAAAAAGAGAATTAAGTGTTCTATAAAAAAAACAGATATTCAAAGAAATATATTTACTTGAGGAGGTTCATAAATTGCTGCAACTACAGCTCGTATACCAAGTGGTATATCAGGATGCATTTCATATCGTCCATACAAAAATCCAATACGTTGATGTCCTGTAATCCTCCAATAGTTCAAAAAACGTTCCACTAATTCTGAGTTTTCAAACATAACATTGTCAACATGCCTATAGGTCTACCAAAATCAAAAACAGTTGTATACATCAATAAAATAGTTAACAAACATTTAATAATTCTTTTTACCTGTCTGTTTAATGTAATAGCTGATGGTTGACATTTTGAACATATACCTTTTGGCCATGGTAAATGTCCAGCACAGCCTTCTTTTATCTTACAACTTATGTTTTCTAATAATAAAAATTTCCCTCTAAAAATATAAAATTCAATTTAATTGAATAATTTATATAATTTTCCAAAAATAGTTAAATTACTTAGCAACTCCTGCAGTCATTTTTCTTAAGTATGAATGAAAAGATAAATGCTTCATATTTTGTGTTTTTAAATATTCCTCATCATATGGTTCTAAGGGTGAACAATGGACACAACATCCATTATCACCATGACGGCAACTTAAAGTTTATCGTTATCATTATGTTAATTAAATAATATGAACAATTAAGAATGTATAATATAAATTACTATTTTTTGTCTTTGAGGCGTTTAATTTTTCCATCTAATTTCCATAATAGTTTATCCACTTCATCTTCTTCTATTTGACTTGTTGATCCTGAACTTTTCTTTCCATTTGATGGCAGTGATGTACTAGATCCTGGTGTAGAAACAACTGATGAAGAACGACTTCCATTAACTGAATCTGCATTTGACGGACCAGGAATTGCCCATATATTATCTGGATCTAATGGACATAAGTATATTTTATCTCCATGTTTCAGATTTAAGCTGCTCAAGTATACGCTTTTAGATGATTTAATTTCATTTTTACGGTTCCGATCATTAAATAATGTAAAACCATAGTTTGTAAGAGAAAATGCATTGTACACCTGAAAAAATTTAAAAATTATTTTTATTTTTTTTTTAAATAGTTCTAAATACACAATTAAGGTTTCATTAAAATAAGTATTTTAATTTTTAACATATTATATTTCTTGTATAAATTTCAATATTTTTAAAATACAAAGTTTAATTTATATTAAAATAAATAAATAATGTTTTAATGGGTAAACTTTATTACTTTTTCAAATAAATTATAACTTGATTCTGTAAGTGACACTTGTACTCTTTTTGTTCCATCTGGAGATTCTACACGTAATACCTGAAAAAATATTAGTTTTAAAATAAATATATATATAGATAAAATAATTGTTTAAGAGTAAGTAAAGGTTAGTTTAACAGTGATATTAAAAAATAATAGTTGAAAATACAACTTATAAAAAATAAAAAAAACTAAAATATTTGAACAAAAAATTAAATAATGGATAATCTAGGATAGTTATAAATTTTAATAGTTGTCACTAAAATAAATTTTTGGTGAAAAAAAAACATAAATATGAACAATTTAAAGTTAAAAAATAATATAAATTAAATTGAAATTAAATAATTCTTGACATGTAGGAAATTTAAATTATCAAAAGTCTGGTTGACGTTTTAAAAGAAAACATTTAAAAACAAGTAAACACTCAATGACACAGCACCTTTATATGGAAAAAGTATGATTTTATTTTGTATAACAATAGAAAAATGTAACTCTATGATATTTAAGTACTCACTATTTGTCCTGCCATTTCTCTGCAGCATTTATGATTAAACAATTAAATACTTAATTATATCGTCTTCACTATAAAATATTAAATAATGTGTAAAAGTTCGAAAGCTGTAGAATAAAACAAAAATTCTTTTAGAAACAAGGAAAAATTCAAAGAAAATTTTTCATATCAGAAGTGTTATCGATTCTACCAACTAACGATTACGTGTACAGTGCAGGGTCTAAAAATCGAATTTACGTTACACTTTTCGATTATTTTTCAATTTAATTCTTAAATGGTTTTTAATGGTTTAGATATTATTTTATCATGACAACAATGTAGCGAGAATACATGAATTAGTGTTCTATTTGTATGGTTGTAGGTGTGAGTCAACACTCGACTGCAATAATTGTACTTTGTTGAAATAAATTCTATTTTACTAAAAAAAAGTATGCTATATGCAATAACAAAATATGACAATCGATTAGTTATCTCTGTTGGCAGCGCTGTATAAATGTTGACATTTTCCTTCACCAGTTTTTAAAGTTTTTTCCTTATCTAGTGGTAGAAAAATTGAATTTTTACTCTTAATGAGTAAAAAACGTTTCCGTTTATGTTGTAGAAGACTATAGTTGTCCTTCTCGAAATTCGATGATCGGAGGATAACGTTGGATCGCTATCAGTGTATTGTAAGTTAAACTTTTTACTTATTTTCTTTATACAATGATTGTTAAAGTAATTTAGCTACTACCAAAGTAAATTTTAAATTTTATTTTAAAATATTGTTTCATAAGGATTTACTTAAAAATCAGAACAAATCAACATTTACTCATGTAGTACAACTTAATCTCTTGTTTCAAAGTTAAACTGAATTTTATCATTTTACTCGAATATACTAATTATTTCTGACTTATTGATTATTCTCAATGTAAATTAAAACATCTGTATTATTTTTTTTACATTAAAACGCTGGTTTATAAATTCTCTATTTGAATACCTAATAAATATTATTCATATCGATTGAATTGTTTAAAATAAAAATAATGGTTTATCTATTGGTAATTATATTATTGTACCTATTACTAAAATCAAATTATTTTAGCTAGGTATAAAAATATTAAAATGTATTAATATTATTATACTTAGATTTACCAATATTAATATTAATATTTTTATTTTTTTCATGTTAGTCGATTGTTAAGAAAATCAGAAACAATATAATGTTTTTGTCATAATTTAACAAAGAACTATATTGAGTTGTAAAAAAATTAAAATAATGTCTATGATTATCATACACAAAAATAAAAAACAATTTTTAAATTAATAAAATATATTTATAATTTGAATAAATTCACTTATATAACTTATACATATTTATCTAAGAATTCTTTATTTTAGTTTTAAATATCAATTTAAATAATGAATTATTAGGTTTTAGGTAGATATAATGCTAAATTATGCCTATAGCATGTTAATTAACACATCTTTATTTTTATTTATACATTTGTATTTTTTTTCATACCATACTAATAGTCATAAAAAATATTTGTTTAAATTAAAAACTAGATTTTTTGTCTAAAATTTTGTTTATGATAAAAGTATAAAAGATATTTCATTATATAATTTTTAAATGAATATGTAGTTAGTAAGAAATCCCTATAGATTATTTATACAATTATATTTAAAAAAAAAAAATACATAAAGGATGAATGACCTCATTAAATGACTTATTATTTAAACAATAATAAGTTTTTTTTATTTTTTTTTAAAGTATACTAAATAAAAAAATATATATTTAATAATTGTTCTTTTGAAATTGTCAACTAATGATTTTAATGGTTTTTTTTCATATTTTAGGTATATGATTATGATTTATTTTATACTGTTAAATTCCATTAATACATTTTTAAGTATAAATTAGTTCTATTAATTACATTTTACTATTCTACAAAATGTAATCGATATATTTGTTATTATTGTTGTTGTTATTCTTATTTTATCTAGAAAATTGTTATTTTATGCTATGCTGAGCTATGCAGGCATTGAAATAATTATAAATTATAAAATAATAAATAAAATAAATTATATTAATAATAAACATTTATTGGATATTATAACTTGTATTATAAGTAATTAATAGACATTTATTTATGATTCATAATAGTGTATATTGTTAAATAAAATTGTTATTTTTATTAAAACAATAAGCCCAATAATTCAAAATATACCTGTGGTAGTTAAATAAAATAATTTATTCAGTCTTTTGCCTGTATTACTATGTATTTATATCCAGGCAAATAATTTTGGGTTTCAATAATAATATTTTATAGGTTATCATTGTAATTTATTTTGCTTATAATTATTTGATATCTCTTACATCTTTATGATGTTCTTTATTACTATAGATAATATGTATAAACTACATGTTAATAATTAAGATTGCAAATATGCATATGAGAGCTATTATCAATAATGTCCTAATTAACAGTTTTGATTTAATACAAGATCAGAATTATACTTAATCAAAGAAGATATACATATATTATACAAATAATGTAAATTTTTAAATTGTTTCTATTTATTTGATCATTTTTAGAAATGACTCACTGTAAGTTTATTTATTATTCATAACATGAAATTACTTTCACTTTTATTTTAACTTAAAAAATGTTGTGAATCTTTGAATTAGATAATTAGTTTTAAATAAAATACATCCATATTTTATTTCATGTGCATAAAATTAATAAATTATACAATATTAAACTGATTAACTTTATTTTAAAATTAAAGAATAATGAAAAAAAAAAAAACTTTTATTTAACTTGTATTAAAAAATATTTATTAATATTGTTATACTGGTCCAAGATATTAACTAATAGTATCTGTTGTTATTTAATTTTAATTTTATGCTGTGACACAGCCAACATGTATGCCTATTCTAGCCATCTTTTATTTAAAAGTAGCTTTATTTTAATTAGTATTGTTAAATAAATTTTGTCTATATATATAGTTTTTTCTTGCATCTCCGTGAGAACATTTTTCATTACCTACTTTTTGAATACAATCATTGTTGAGTATGTTTCATCTAATTCACTATATTTTATAATATGTTTTAGAACATAATATTACTATATTTCAATGTCTTAAACAACTTGCAGTATATTTAATTTATATTTTTGTTTGTATTTATTTAATGATTTTAATATTTAATTAAATGACTTAATTATGTTATCCAATTTCTTTTTTTTTTTTAATTCTTTAGTATTTAAGTTCGTCTATGAGATAAAATTTTATCAATGTTATTTACATTTAATTTAACATCAAATATTTATTTAAATTGTACAATCATTTCAAATAACAGATATACCTATTTTAATATCTTACAATTTCCAGTCTCCTCTTTTATTAACATTTTAAATTTTATTAAATAATTATTTAATCAAATTAATATAAAAATTGTTAATATTTACTTAATTTTTATGATAATTGTATGCATCTGCCATTTTTAACCACAACTATCTAATAAAATGAAATGTATGTTTAATATTGTTATTTTTGGTTTTTAGGTTATATAGTTTTTCATTTCATGACAATAATATGATAGAATAATTCAATTAACTTATATTATTTAAGTTTTAAAACAAAGATGAAGAGGCAGTTTTTTAAGGTTAAGCAATTTGCTGACCAGACATTCTCTAGGTATGATGTTTTTAATTATTTTTATTGTTTTAAATATTTAAATAACATTTTTTATTAATTTTTATTTATAGGTCAGGTAAAACTGAAGCTCTTTCTGATACCTTACAAACTGCAGAAAAACGAGTTGAGTTTATAAAGAACGCTTGTCAAAATACTACAAAAAAATTATTAGCTACATTAATATCACCTGGGCTTGGCCATGATGCTCCTGCTCGTGAAAAACGACTTGTAAGTAATATATATTTTTTTTATTCATTAATAATTTATTTTTAATATTTTAGAAAAAAATGCCTGACTATTTGCTGGCAATGGCAATGCTTGATAATGGCTCTAATGAAGAAGATAATTTATTAAGGTAAAATATTTTTTAATTTAATATTTTTATAGTTTGCAATAAAGCAACTTATACCCAGGGTAACTTATGAATAAATATGAGGAACTTTTTCTTTTTAGTAGTATTATGTTTTTATTATTGTGAAATAAAAAAATAATTACTTTAATATTTTAAAATTTAAATTTACAGTTTGTTTTTGTATAGTGGCTTAATCTAATTTGACTTTAACTTAAAAGATGTACATATTTTTTTATTCAGTATAAATTTAAATTATATTTTAAATGTTTATTATTTTTTAGACAAGTATTAGTGGAATGTAGCAAAGTACAAATATGTTTAGCTAATGCCGGTGTAGATTATGAATCACGTATTGAACAAACAGTGCTTAGTAAGTTACAACAAATACTGGATGTAGATGTGCCAAATATTATAAAGCAAAAACGATTACTTACTAAGTTGGTGTTTGATATGGATTCAGCTCGAGCAAAGTAATATTTCTTTATATTTAATAACTATAAATTATACATTATTTTATTTTTTTTTCATTTACTCTATAATATAGACAAAAGTTTCTTTAAAGTCCATAATCCTGTATTAATTTTTAAATTCAATAGGATATTTATTTAATAATTGTAATAAATAGCTCAAAGAATTGATTTTCTTATGAATAAATAAAAAATATTTAATACTGTTATCTGTATAAATGTTACATTATATAATAATTAATTATTACCTACTTTACTTTTGTTATTTTTCTTTTAGTATTTAAGTTATGACTATTATTATTTTATTTATTATTATTTTTTTTTTTATAGATACCAAGGAATCTTAAAAAATTCTAATTCTGGAAGTTCTCATACAAATAAAGTAGATGCGGTTAAAGAAGAATTAGAAGATATAGAATTGAAAGTTGAACAATGTAAAGTATGTGTATATAATATTTGATATTAGTTATTCCTTTAAAATAAATATATATATATATATATATATTTTTTTTTTAATAACACTTAGGACTCTCTAGCATCGGAAATATTTCAGTTAATATCACGAGAAGCAGAACTTTCATCTGTTCTTATAGAATTAATAAAACATCAACGTTCTTACCACCAAACTGCATTAGCTGTTTTGGATGAAATAGTTCCTGAATTAGAAACTGTTATTGGTATGTTGCATAATCTTTAAATATTTTTAATACTAATATAAACATTTTATATAGATATTAACCCTTCAAAACCAGTTTTTGGTCAAAAACTTGAAGACCATTTAAGAGTTACTAAAAGGCGAATAGCCTATCCAATTGAACTATGTATTTGTGCTTTATTGGAAATGGGTGTGGAAGAAGAAGGATTATTTAGAATTGCAGCTGGTGCTTCTAAAGTACGATGCATGAAACTCAGATTAGATTCTAATTGTCTAGATTTAGAATCAGCAGTTGAATATAGAGATCCTCATATAATAGCTGGAGTTTTAAAATCTTATTTAAGACAATTACCTGAACCTCTATTAACTCATCATTTATATGAAGAATGGATGGCTGCAGCTAAGTATGTATTCAATTCAGTTTCATTTATAAGTTACTTAATATTATTTTGTTATTATTATTGAAAAATTGTGTAATATATTATAATTATTTATCAGACTACAAACTAGTGAAAGTAGACTTCAAGCAATCCTAAACGTTGTTCAAAAATTACCTCAATCGAATTTATACAACTTAAGATATATAATTAAATTTTTGGCTTTGTTGACCAAACATCAAGATGTAAATAAAATGAGTCCACAAAATTTGGCTATAGTTATTGCACCTAACCTTTTATGGACACCTGAAGATAAAAATGATAATATAGGGTAAGAATTCTTAGGCATTTAATCATTGTATAATGTTTAATATTATTTATTCTTTTTTTTTTATTTGTTTTATTAACTAGATTAAATATGAATGCAGCTGCATGTCATAATATCATTGTAGACTGTCTAATATCCCATTCGGATTGGATTTTTCCTGGGGGTAAAAATCATATATTAAATTTTTATTAACTAATTTTCATTATTAAATAATAAAAATTATTTTAATTTCAGAAGAAGAATTTTATGTTACATTAAAGGTATTAGATGTAAATGATTTTAATGGTCACAAAAGATCCAGTAGTGGGGATACACATTTGATATTTACAAATGATGCTTTTGACACAAATTTGAAACGAAGTAGATCTAGTACTAATATTACTGATATGAGGTATTTAATGTTTGTATGATTATTATATGTGTGTTTTATTGTAACTATTATAAAACTATTAAAATCAACATTTATTAAACTATTTAAATTAATTAATAAACTATAAAATTTGATTATGATATATTTAGTCCTCCTTCAGAGAGCCCAAAACCACATACTAGAGGACGTAAAAGTAAACCAGCTCCTGTTCCACCATCACCAACAAACAAGACAAACAACATATTTGAAAGTTCTTCTGTCACTACGAAAGACCAAGATAAAGCAAACTGTGATAAACCTCCGCCTGGTTCCTTACCGAAACCTAGTCAAACTACTGAATCTCCTAAGGAAAAGTTACCGTCTGCTGATACAGGTTCTTTAAAACGCCCTGTTAAACCTGCAGTTGCTCCACGCACAATACTTGAAACCTCTGATGATACAGTTTTCCGTAAACCTGCTATACCTGAACGACCAGCATCTTTACAAAGACCATTAAGTTCTTCATTTAGGAGTCTTAGAATATTAACAGATGTTTCTAATGATAAAGTAGATGTAATGATAATTTAATTTCACTATGTATGCTTGAATATTGATTCTATTTTTATATTTATAGTTAGACCAAGGAGGCCCTATGTTGGAAAGGGCACATTTGTACACTGTGTCTAAACAACAAGTTTCATTGATACAAGTTGGTGATCAATGTGATGATAAAGAAATCAACCAAAATCAACATACCGGTTAGAATTAATTATTAATTTATTATTATTGTATTTAATTTTACTTTTGAAGTTGATACTTAAAAAAATATTTACATATGATATTGATATTTTAGATATAATGGATACATGTTATACAAACCAAGAGAGTCAAAATGATGATAATGGAGGTTGTATAAGTCCAACTTTTTCTAGTCACCGAAATACACCATCAGACATCCTATCTGGTTAGCATATTAATAATTATTTAATGATATTTTAACCTGATTTGAAATTAATTTTAGGACAATCATTAGCATTAAAAACACCAACAAGAACCCAGCGACCTATACCTCCACCACCACCACCACCAGTTTTTTCTACTAAAAAGGAACCTGAAAGTACAGATTTATAACATTAAAATAAAAGTGATAGAAAGTTACGACTTGTTTTTATTTCATTATTAATACATTGACCAAAGAAATAGTAAAGTTTTTTTTTGAGTTTAATTTCACTGACAAAAGAAGCATTTAATAATTTCTATTTTTTGACCTTTGCCTACCATTATTTATTTATTTATTAATTAATTTATATTTTTTGTTAACTTGAAATATTTTATCTTTTAATTATATATACGTACATATATTATTTAAATTATGTAAATGATTATTACAATATATTTTTCTTAAAAACAAATTGTTATTTACCTATTTACAGATTGTAATTTAATATTTATTTTTAGACCTTATGTATAAATTAAAGGTATTTTCTTGTATTTTTTTTTACTAAACATTTATTTTCATTTATAATTATTAAAACTGTAAAACAGGGTAAAATAACTAAAAACTGAACGTTGAGATTATTTAATGTAGCCATGTTGAATTATTTATATTATTTTTTTTATCAATTTTCTATTAGATCATTGTGCACTATATAAAAATGTTTATCGAAAGTAAAAACCACTATGTTAAAAGTTTTGGTCCTATGTATCTTTAAAATAAAAGTTTGATGTTTTAATTATTTATTTTATTTATAATTATCAATAGGCATAAGCTCTTTAAGAGTTTAAATGTATAAAATAACTATTTTAGTTGAATAACTATTCAACACAGAAATTATGCTTAAGTATTAAACAATAAAATAAATAAATAGCATCTTACGTTTCATACTTAATACAAAGCTAAGAATTTAATATAAATTTAGATTGCACATACTTTTAAAAGGAATGTATTAATCAATTTAACAGAATTTTTGAGTAAATAGTTTGCATTTAAAATAGCAAGTTATTAATAAATTAAATCAAATTGATAGTCTAGATCAGGGATGGGCAATTGGTAACCTGCATACCACTCAACTGGCCTAACATTTAAGTTACTTTATAAAAATTAAAAATGTTAGGATTTTTCTACAATTCATTTTATTATGTTTTTAAAATCGATATAATGTGTATTGTAAAACATAATTATGATGTCTTATCTAGTATTGAGCTATATTAGTTAATTTTATTATTATTTAAAGGGACATAGTTAACATAGCTAATAGATTATCAGTTTAATCATATCCGTCGTGTCGTGCTGGCTGATGGCTTTGATTTTATTATTTTTGTGTTTAGTAGTGTTTCAAAAATGTCTGCTAAAAAGCAAAAAATTGATCCATTAGATTTTCACTTTCAAAAAATTCACTCTTATCAGCAATAAGTTTCCTATTCCTGGTATAAACCAATAGTCTTTTATAGTTATATTAATGGGAAAGTCTCTAGATAAAGATCATTGAAAAATTTTTGATATGTTTATCTTGAATTATATTAAGTAACATCCAAGACTAATATTATTTATTATTTGAATAATTTGTAAACAAAATTCTAAACTTAATCTGACTAGATAAGTGTGTTTTTTTCTAAACAAAGAAGTATTTATCAAATCGGTATTTCAATGTATAAAATATTTAATTTTGTTTATTTATAACTTAGCTTAAGGAATTCTTTTAAAGGGTTCTCTTAGTTACCTTAAAACTGAAAATCTTTAAAGGTAGTCATTAATGAGTAATTAATACTGACATCATTTTTTTGTTTTATTTTTATAATACATGTAACATACTTTTCAAAAGTTAATATTTAATAAAGTTTAATAATTTACTGTTTATAAGTATTTTTATAGTAGTTCATATATGTCATTAGAACCTTTTGCAGTTAAGACTTGCTGAAAGTTTCTAAGTTTTAGTATTAAAATGTAAAAACAACTAACACCTAAATTCTTATTATTTATTCTCTCAAAAGAGACATATTTCCTACAGATAAATTAAATTAATGACTATTTAATTTTCAAATATACATATATTTAATATCTTTATGAATAGTCTCAGGATTGAATCTTTGATTTACTATATTATAGTGCAATATTTTCACTTGTAGGACATATTCATTACTAAGAGGTTACACGGTACTATATTTTTCATTTAGACTAACAAAATGTATTAATGTTGATGGACTGAAAAATTTCTACCTGATGTCTAATTATTAACAAAATACCAATTACTTTCATTAACACACATTTTAATAACAGTTGTCAAGACATTTTACATATTTAAGAAGAAAAATATATTTTTTGGATTGCATTTTTAATGTATTATGTTTCTAGTATCTTATATATATCCCATTACATATATGTCCTTTACATATAGACTGTATGTTGTATGATTGAAATATAAATAATTAAACTTAATTTTTAATACACAATTTATTCAAAAAAAAAAAAAAAATGTAATAATTCTAAACATATTTTTATATGACTACATTAATGGTTTTTTTTTAATGTTGGTGAAAGATTTCTCTCTAAAACCGGAGGTTCTTGGTAAAAAATTTTCTGATCATCTGTTCTTTTGAGTTTTTCTTCTAAAATACTGGGTTTTGATGGCATTTCTAAGTTAGATATTGTACGTTCTACATTGTAACCAATAATACCAGCAACAAAAGCTACTGGGAAAGTTATCATTGGTACATATCTTAACAATATTTTATAAAAAACCATGGTGACTGAAAAAAAAAAAATCAAATATAATATATTATGAATGCTGTGTATTAACATGATAATTGGTGATAACTATAATGTATGTAGTTTTATTACATATAATAAAGATACAGTTTTAAAACATATTTTTTTGAAAATATCAAGTTTCCAAAATAATTTTATTTTTGAAAATGTCTTATTATGCTCTCTATTTCTTTAAAAGTTGTATGTTTGGTACTACATTTAAAAAACAATTTACTTTAAGAATTCTAGCAAATTCCATTTCTAATCTGTAGATAAAATGAAACTTTTAGAACATTACTTTTAGTATAAAAAGTTGAAAAATACATTATAAAAAAAAAAAAAAAACATAATTCATGACTGATTAATTATTCAGGAGGAATAATAAGCTAACTAATTAGTATATCATCGATTAATAAAAGAAGCTTAATATTGTTTAAAAATGATAGAAATTATATCACAATGAAACACATGATATCACAAAAACTTTAATTTTAGAGAACTAAGATATGTAACTAAATTTATAACATACATTATTATTTATTTAATGGTATTAAAACTTTATTTAAAAAATGTATCATTTGTGAGGTATTTTAATTACAACCACATAATACATTACTTCTTACTCGGTTCAAATTTTTAGATCAACTTATTATTTTATAGAAAATCTTACATTTTCTACTTTAAACTTGAAGGTTGTGGTAATCTGTATTTGTGCATTTCAATCTCAGCATCAAAATATGAATTTTTGTGGTAACTGAAATATTGTGGATTCTTGTAGGGACCGTTTTTTGCTGCTTTCTTTACACGTTCTACATAATAAAATCAATTTAATGAATAAAATAATAATACTATAGGTTATCTGTTCATCTAGAGAATATGAGTATACAATAACTAAAATTAGTAGCTTTTGACCAAAAATCTACCTAAATAAAATAAGTAATATTTCTTGATCATAGAATAACCAGTAAGATATATGTTTGTATGCCCAAAGCAGTCATATTCTCTAATGAATAGTATATAAATATTATTCAATATTTTTAATTAAATAAAATTATCGTCATTGGTAAAATAATTATTTACCTGCTGGTGGGTTAGAAATGATAACCTTGGAACTCAAACCTTTAACATTAGATGTAATGTCTTTTGGTTTTTCAGTTGTAGCCACGTATCTGCGGAACTAAAAATGTATCTTCTTAAAACTGGTATAAACATATCATAATAATTAATATAATCAAGAAATAATTTAAAACCTATAAGATTCTATTTTTGACATTGACTTATTAGAGTATCAAAAGAACAAATAAGTAATAACTTTACCTGATTGTTAACCAGACATGATTTTGTTAAAACATTGTTTATCCTCATTATTTTATGTTGAGATGAATATTATCTGTAGTTAGAAGGATTAAATTTTTAAAATATTGAGCAGTATTATGCAATATAACGTTGCGTTTTGAGAACAAACCTTAAGCTATCTTCCTTTTAAGTTACAACCTTAGATTACACATTCCTATATTCGTAACAGTTATCAATTATCACATGTTTTTCTATATGTTTAGCATATAGTACGCATTACCACGGTATTAGATTATTATTTTAGGACACAACTCTATAGATGATAAAGAAAATATGATATTTATTATCAAAATCAAACATATGATTAATCCAGTGATACCATATTAGTCATTAATTTCCCATACTAAAACTATAGTTAAATAAATATATTATAACTAGGGTTCGGATTTGAAGGCAAATGCCTTTCTTATATTAATCATAATAGAAAAATAATTTTTATACAAAAATGTGTTTCATTTAATTTCTTAGACGATGGATCTTTTTTTTTTTTTGCCTTTTTTTTGCCTTTTTACCTATAAATGCCTTTTTTTACCTTTTGTACTTATAAATGCCTATTTTGTGTTTAATTTTTCAGTTGATTTTATAATTTTATACACAGCTTGCGTATTATCGATATCGTGTTATCGAGTATTTGGTATGGCCATAAAATTACCCGTACACCTATTTAAAGATTAAGATATGTTCGTGGTACCTACGTAGATTCAAGATTGTTCGTCAGTCCGCCGGCATTTGTCGATCGCAATAATTGTCGTTCAATAATTTTTCCACGCGTTTATTTTATTCTGTTTTTTTAATTATGCCAAGAGTTAAACAAAATCACAATTCCAAGTTGAAAAAGTATGTTTCAGAATTCGGTGAAAATATTTTTTCAACCAATAGATTAATTTTATATTGTAAAATTAGTATATTAAAAAGTAGTATATTTATGAATTGCCTTTCCTTTTTGTATAAATTAAATGCCTTTTTTTACATTTTAAATACTTTTTTTATTGATTATATTTCCTTCAAATCTGAACCCTAATTATAGCATTTATAACTAGCTGAATTACCCGGCTTCGTCCGTGTGTCAAGCTCGCCCACAGAATGAAATCCCATCCGGGGCAAGATAAAATTCAAAGGCCAAAGTACTATTTGGTTAAGATATTTTAATAAATGAATATACCTCTAGGACATTCATTATAATATACCTGACTAAAAAAATAATCATCATTATGTCATTACGCAAAAACCTAATAATATGTGTTTATGTTATAACAATAAATATCAATTACTAATATACTATTAAGTTACAATAATTATATAAATCCCAAGGGGGAGCAATGTCCCCATTGGTCTTCCCTGCAGGCGTCCTTGCCGTTTGTTGTTTGTATCTCAAAATGACTATTATGACAAATAAAATTAAATTGTGAATAATAGATCACTCGTAGGAGTGTTTGATACAACCTTGAGAAAAAAATTGAAAAAAATTGAAATAGTGTCATCACAAAACAGGAATATAAAAAAGGTCAGTTCGTTTTATATAAATACCTAGAGATAAAAATACAATCCCTCCCCCTTCCATCAGGCAAAAAAAAAAATGGAAAATTGGGTGACCGCGGTAACACTCAGAAAGGTATTTTGAACAACTCTGTGATAAAAATTGGAAAAATGTTAAATAGTGTCGTCTCAAAATGGGAACATAAAAAAGACCTGTTTTTTTATATATACAGTATACACATATATAAGGAAAGATATAATAAAGTATTGCAATATAGAATACAATACAGAATAAAATAAATTTAATCTATTCTGTGACTACATGTTTTACTAAGTACAATAATTTAATATAGAGTACAAAACTACAAAATGATGACTTTTTTAACGAAAAACCGTGAAATAATGTACAATTTGATTCAAAGTAATCTGACATTCCAACATAGGTACCTACATGAATAATTTGAACTTTTGAAGCATGATCGCATGACTGTTGTTTAACCATGGTTTGAAAGAATCCAATTTAATAACTAGGTACATAGCTTTTGGCATTATTTGTTTTAATAAAATAACTTAAATTCTATTAATAAATTAATATTTACAATTACATGAATTCTAGTCAGAAATAATTATAGGATGTTGTGAATGATGTAAATTTTTAGGATTCAGTAAAAACTATTTATCTAAGAAACCTTGTGCTACATTTTAGAATTTTAAGCTTTTTGAACTACAGTAAAAAACTAAAATCATTATTTCAAGTGACGATATCTAAGGACTTCAAATTTCAAAACGTTTTTGTAGTGTTGTAAAATATAACGTTATTATAATAGAAAAATATTTAAAACAAAATTAACGAAGTCGATAGGAAATCAAAAACTAAAAAAAATTCGAATATCATTAAATAAAATATATTAATTATAACTTCATTTAAAATTTATAGTAAACAAGACACATTTAATATATTATGTAAATTTAAAAAATAGTTATAAATAAAGTTATTAAAATTAATGCTTGTTCTTTTTTTTATGCTACCTACCTACCTACATATTATGACATGTAATTAAATTCATTATAATAAAAATTTAAATTTTATTAACTTTTTTTTAATCTTTTAGGTATGATAAATTTAAAGTTGGCTATCTTTATTAATAAGAGTTAGTATTTTCATAATATCTAAAATATCTTATTATTGTTTTTTTTTTTTATATTAAATACTTATAGATATTAGTAAATTATTTTAATTCAATTTTTTTTATGTTCATGTTCAATTTTATTGATGTTGACAGTTTCGTTTTTTATTTTAAACGTTAAATGTAAAATTATAAATGTATTAGAATTAAATGGAAAAAATCAAAAATGTTTGAAAGTACAATTATAACATTAAACATTAACATTTTATAACGTTTAAATACTAGAAAATATAAAAAAAAAAATATATTTTTATGATTTAAGCCTTAGAATATGCAATGTTTATGTTTTAAAAATCAGAAGTCAAAAGATATCAATAGCGACAACAGCATTCAAGTAGGTTTAATCACTCTGCCATAGAATATGTGTCGAATGATATGTATATTATCATTGTAATAATAAATGTGTTTAATTTTAATTCAATAATTAATCATTGAATACAACAAAAATTATTCTATGTGGAAATATTGGAAACAATCTAACTTTTTATTATAACTTTACTAAAAACAATAGTTAGGTTGGTATCATTATAAACTCAACAATTAACAAATGTTCATTGTATTTTTTTTCCCTAATATTTCCGATTTTATACAAAAAATAAACACATCATTATGAAATCAAAATGTTAAACGCTCCGCTCTTCAGAATCTAAAAAAATGTATGTTAATATTATTGTATTTTAATTTTAATTTTTGGATATTAATTTTATTTATTTATCGTTTTCATTATCGTAACGCCTATATAATGGGTTTTATCATTATTCTATTATTTTTTTTTTTTATTTTCTGTGCTTTGGCTTTTTATACATTTAGTATATACGAGTACTTTGACGAATACTCTACAATATTTAAGCTTCGAGTCACTACGAAATTTTTGAATACCTCTGTCCTTTGCTATTGAGTATAAGGGCTTTTAAAAATGAAACACCTGTACGTCTGTTTATGTATTCACGTATGTATCTAATAGTCTCCCAAATATAATACATTTCCATATTTTTTGGGTCCAATGTATTAAATTTCTACACACTGGTGTAGGATTATCTCCGGATGACTGGATCATTATTATGGTTGCAACGACGATCGCGGTCTTCAACACAATGAATTCTCACCTGCAATTTTGTACTTATTTTATATTATATTATATTATTATTATTATTATTATTACCGATTTCCGATATTTTACAAAATACTATATAGTTCTCCGAAAACCTTCGCCACAGTCACGTGAATCGTTATTGTCCGGAAGAAATTTGTAATTCATATATTTGAATTTTATTATAAGACGCCCGATACTCTCTGCAGATTCTCTATTGAACCGATATTCTATAATAGATGTTATATACAAATAAACGCGGAGAAGAGTTTCAATAATGAAAATATTCTTACTATAATACATTATTATTGTATAGGTAGTCAACTGGTTTCTGACATAATCACTCCAAAAAATGGTGGCCTTTACACGTTACTGCGATATATGTATATGTATATACACTATCCCCGCAGTGGTGATTCTTCTTATTGCACCTGTTGCATGCGGATTTTTACTAATTTTATGTGGACTGATATACGAGAATTAGGTTGAGGAAGCTAATAATGATTAATAGATAGGACTTAACAACTAAAATCGAAAATAAAATAATTATTTCAAAATTGACTTTTACTCTTGGTTATGAAAATGTCGAACATCTAATAATGATTAATTAATTTATATAATATGTGATAGTGTTTGGTTATGGGCAAGGTTGTGAAAATTACAATGTGTTCCTTTTTTAATATGTTAAATACATTTTAAGGGCAATATTTTTAAAATGTATTTTTTTTCCACCTTTCGACAGACTTGGGACTGTTTGAGAAATCCACTGGTATTATTAAAAATACTTCTTTTTTATTATTATTAAAAATCACAAATTAAATATTTATAATAATACATTATTTTAAATTTTCTGTTAAAGCTTATTGTAATTTTTCAATTACTTTATAAATATTCCGGCGTAATGAATCCATAACATCCTTGTTTATTTTTATGTAATATAATATATTACATAATATAAATAGTTAAAAAATTAATAGTAAATAAAACTAAAGAAATAGTTTTTGAAATATCGGAAAAATACTTTACATTAGTTATTAAATTTAAATTAGGCACTTTTTACAGTTCACACTTAACTATCTAAATAATGGCGTGCCGTACAACAACGTACAGCTAAGAGTAATGCAAACTTATTTATTATGTTTATTACATTTATATTTTCTGTAAAATTAAAAGTATAATCACCTTTATATGGTTATATGGCCATATATTTTGGCACACAAAGATTTGTTAATTTTTCTAAGTACACAATAATACAATATATTACATAAATACTCTAAAATCGTATTATTTAATACGATAATTTTATAGGATTATTGATGCAAAAAATCAAACGTGTTCACTTTTTTATTGAATAAAATTCACAAGTTGGTGTAATCTGCTGATTAGTCCATTAGTTATAATTAAGGATATAGTTTTCA